GTCTTCTTTCCTCTTTCTCTTTCGCGTGTTCGTTCCTCTTTCTCTTTCGCGTCTTCGTTCCTCTTTCTCTTTTGCGAATTCGTTCCTCTTTCTCTTTCACGTCTTCGTTCCTCTTTCTCTTTCGCGTCTTTGTTCCTCTTTCTCTTTCACGTCTTCGTTCCTCTTTCTCTTTCGCGTGTTCGTTCCTCTTTCTCTTTCGCGTCTTCATTCCTCTTTCTCTGTTGCATCTTCGTTCCTCTTTCTCTTTCGCGTCTTCGTTCCTCTTTCTCTTTCGCGTCTTCGTTCCTCTTTCTCTTTCGCGAATTCGTTCCTCTTTCTCTTTCACGTCTTCGTTCCTCTTTCTCTTTTGCGTCTTTGTTCCTCTTTCTCTTTCGCGTCTTCGTTCCTCTTTCTCTTTCGCGTCTTCGTTCCTCTTTCTCTTTCGCGTCTTCGTTCCTCTTTCTCTTTTGCGAATTCGTTCCTCTTTCTCTTTCACGTCTTCGTTCCTCTTTGTCTTTCGCGTCTTTGTTCCTCTTTCTCTTTCACGACTTCGTTCCTCTTTCTCTTTCGCGTCTTCGTTCCTCTTTCTCTTTCACGTCTTCGTTCCTCTTTCTCTTTCGCGTCTTTGTTCCTCTTTCTCTTTCACGTCTTCGTTCCTCTTTCGCGTCTTCATTCCTCTTTCTCTGTTGCATCTTCCTTCCTCTTTCTCTTTCGCGTCTTCGTTCCTCTTTCTCTTTCGCGTCTTCGTTCCTCTTTCTCTTTCACGTCTTCGTTCCTCTTTCTCTTTCGCGTCTTCATTCCTCTTTCTCTGTTGCATCTTCGTTCCTCTTTCTCTTTCGCGTCTTCGTTCCTCTTTCTCTTTCGCGTCTTCGTTCCTCTTTCTCTTTTGCGAATTCGTTCCTCTTTCTCTTTCGCGTCTTTGTTCCTCTTTCTCTTTCACGTCTTCGTTCCTCTTTCTCTTTCGCGTCTTCGTTCCTCTTTCTCTTTCACGTCTTCGTTCCTCTTTTTCTTTCGCGTCTTTGTTCCTCTTTCTCTTTCACGTCTTCGTTCCTCTTTCTCTGTTGCATCTTCGTTCCTCTTTCTCTGTTGATTCTTCGTTCCTCTTTCTCTTTCGCGTCTTCGTTCCTCTTTCTCTTTCGCGAATTCGTTCCTCTTTCTCTTTCACGTCTTCGTTCCTCTTTCTCTTTCACGTCTTCGTTCCTCTTTCTCTTTCGCGTCTTCGTTCCTCTTTCTCTTCCGCGACTTTGTTCCTCTTTCTCTTTCACGTCATCGTTCCTCCTTCTCTTTCGCGTCTTCGTTCCTCTTTCTCTTCCGCGAATTTGTTCCTCTTTCTCTTTTGCGACTTCTTTCCACTTTGATGTCCACTTTTCTGTTGCATCTTCGTTCCTCTTTCTCTGTTGCATCTTCGTTCCTCTTTCTCTTTCGCGACTTCGTTCCTCTTTCTCTTTCGCGTCTTCGTTCCTCTTTCTCTTTCGCGAATTCGTTCCTCTTTCTCTTTCACGTCTTCGTTCCTCTTTCTCTTTCACGTCTTCGTTCCTCTTTCTCTTCCGCGACTTTGTTCCTCTTTCTCTTTCACGTCATCGTTCCTCCTTCTCTTTCGCGTCTTCGTTCCTCTTTCTCTTCCGCGAATTCGTTCCTCTTTCTCTTTTGCGACTTCTTTCCACTTTGATGTCCACTTTTCTGTTGCATCTTCGTTCCTCTTTCTCTGTTGCATCTTCGTTCCTCTTTCTCTTTCGCGACTTCGTTCCTCTTTCTCTTTTGCGACTTCTTTCCACTTTGATGTCCACACTAGTAGTGACGTGTGCTTTATACTGTCGACTAAGTATTGACAGTAATCGTTTTTTAGTACAAATGCTGTCTGGGTCGTTCCGTCCCTTCTATAATTTCAAGTTCCTCCATTCTTTTTCCATAGTTATTCGGGACCATTTCCAGCGCTAAATTAATCTCTCTGCTTTGACTGTCACCTTCATTTCCTATAACTTAGCACCTCCTGGCAAGATCAAGATTTCCCAATTCAAATTTTAGTTTTTGCTTCTTAATTCATTCATTCTTCTTTTAGCCATCCTTTACCTTATTATGATTCCCTAATTAATTCTTTCGTTTTCTGGTTTGTTTTTTTCTTCCGAATTCATTCTCCCCCTTCATCTTTTCTTGGTCATTTTCTTCTTTCGTTATTCACCGTTCTTCATCTTATTATTATTATTATTCGTAATTGTTTTGCTCTTTATAATTCAGCCATTTTCTTCTCACTTTCCTTAATTCGTCTATTATTGTCATTTAACAATTCACGTTTTTGCTTTGGTTTCTTCCTAATTCATTTTTCTTCATTTATCATTACTCCTTCATCTTCACATCAGTATTATTTTCTTATTCACACTTCAGATCTTATTCATAGACCTTCATCTTCTCATTATGATTCCTTAATAATTTGTTTTTTTTTTCTAATTTATTCTTTCGTGTTCTTCAAACAAATTATCCTGAATTCCCATTTTATTATTATTATTATTATTATTATTATTATTATTATTATTATTCCTTTGATTTCTGTTGTTCACACATTTTCTTCCGGGTCCCAACCAGAGAACGAAGGTCAGAAATGGCTTCATGACATTTTCAAAAAATTTTAAAAGACATCAAAATAAAAGGATCACCCATTTTACATAGACAAAGATCTTCCTAACGCGTGAACAGTACTTGTGATTACATTTTTTGTTTTGTTTGGTTTGGTTTGTTTTACGGTATATCAACCTCAATGGGTTATTTAAAATGCCGATAAAATTTTTATTGCTGGTAATATTTTTTTTCAAAAATGTATTGCTGGTAATTTTATTTTTATATGTATAGCTGACAATTTTTTACAAAAATGTATAGCTGATAATATTTTTTTTTTCAAAATTTATTGCTGATAATATTTTTTTTTCAAAGTTTATTGCTGGTAATAATGTATTGCTAGTAACAATTTTTCTTCAAAAATTTATTTCTGGTATTAATTTTTTACAAAGTATTTCTGCTATTAAAAAATTATCAACTATTCGCCCATAGCTGGGACCCTAACAGATGCTACCACTTTGGGTCAGGTAGTTCCATGCTCCTCACAACGTCCTGATCAGAGACCTTGCTGTTGGACGTAGTTTATCGTCTTACCCAGGAAGCGGATTTGTTTATCGTCATACCAAGGTACATTTTTTTTGTATTTCTTTAAGACATGGGCTACCAGGAATTCCTTCAATGAGTCTATCGGAACCTTTTCCGATCAATCCGAGTGCTCCACCTACAACTGGAATTATTGATGACCCCATGTGACACATTTTTGAAATTTCCACTTCAAGTTCTTTGTATTTTGATAGTTTTTGAAGATCTTCAAAAATATATTACAATCTGCAGGGACTGCCATTTTTCTATTCTCCCACTCTCTCTTTCTTATTTAGGTCTTTTTTTTTTCTCTTCAGATTTTTTCGTATCCATGCTATTACTTTTCCTTTACTATTTCCTTTCTCTTTTCTTCCTGTCTTCATTCAATCATTTATTTGGCTCTTTTTTTCTGCTTCCTTCTTGCTGCTTTCTTTTTATGGTCATATCTCATTGAAGCATCGATTCTCGTACGATTCTCGAAGTTACGAAGTAACGCTGCATCTGGTCAATACCTAGATGACAGGCTGCCTGTGAATACCAAGTGCTGTAAGCTTGGATCTGCGGGTATGGATAACGGCTCGGAACTGAACATGGGACAGCCTAGTTCTAGTTCCAGTCGGGCGCATTATATTCACTTATGCGCAAATACCCTTGGGAAAGATAAAAATCCACTTCTTCTCCCGCCATCTATGGGTTAATCAATAGGACTTGTATCAGTAAAACATCTTTATCTCCAAAATGTTATTACAATGTAAAATATTTTCTGGTTTTTAAAAAAAATGAAAATGGTTGATAATTCATAAAAAAACAAATCAATCAATCTTTGCTCTTTTCCTTTTTTCTCTCTCTCTCGCTCTTTCCACATCTCTGGCGTATCTCTTTTTCTTTCCTTCTAATTGTTTCTGTTCTTTCATTTTTATTCTTATTCTTTTTCATCCTATTGCTCTCCTAACTTTCTTTCTTCCCTTACATTTTTTCCGTATTTTCTTTTTGCTTTTTCTTCTCCTTCACACTCTTTTTCTTCCACGGTTTACGGTTTCATCTTTTCCTTTTCCCCCTTCCTATTTCGTCTAGCGACAGTTTAATTTCTTTCGTTTTTCACCTTTTTTCTTTATATCTCTTCTTCCCTTTTTTTCTGTCTACTGTTTCATTTCCTCTTTCCAAAGTTAATCTTGTATTTCTAAATTTTTATTTCCCTTTCTTTCCTCGGCTCTTAAAGAACAAAGAAATCAAACTGAATAAGAGAAACTATCGAAAGTATTAAAAGAATAAAAATGAATAAATAAACAAACCAGCAAAAGCCATAAATAAACAAATCAACAAACCAAGGTAATAAACAAAATGGACGACCAGATGTTAAATGGGAATAAGCCAGATTCAAAATGTCTGCCACGCATTCATCAAGTGACTAGAGGCTAATTGATTAAAAGCAGACGATTACTGATATGAGTTTTCTTTTATCCTCTTTATCTCTTTCATTCTTTCTTCCTTTCTTCTCCTTTTCTATTTTTACCTTTTTTCTTTTCTCTTTTAGTTTTTCTTTTCTTTTTCTCATATTATTTTTCTTTAAAGAAAACATTAACAAATAAAGTTGCATAGTTAAAAATTGTACGTGTTTATTTTTCTTCCCTTTGAAATTCCTTTCTTCATTAACATTTCTCTTTTCTTTTCTTCTTCCGTTTCCTTCGTTTTCCTCTTTTTAGTTTTGGCTTTACTCTTATATTTCTATTCATTTCAACCAAAATTTCTCGTCCTCGCTTTTTTCTACACTTAATTTTTCATTCATTTGTTTCTTTTACGAATCAAACTTTTGTTTTAATTCCTCCTTTTCTCTTTTTTTTCATTTTTTTGTCTTTCAGTTTTGATTTTCTTTTTCCTATCTTTTCTCAATGTCTTATATTTCCTTTACTTTCTCTGTTTCTTTCGTTCTTTTTTTATTTGCAATTTCTACTCAACTTCGTTACTTACGTTTCCCTTTTTCCGATACTTTACTCACTGTTTTCTTATTTCTTTCACTTCTGAGTTTTTCTTCCATATTTCATGCTCCACTTTTCCTTCATTTCTCCTCAGCTTTATTCCTTCCATCTTTCTTTCTTTTGCCATTTTTGCGTTTTCTTTCCAGCTTTACTTTTTCTTTTTTCTTTTCTTTTTACCATTTCTTTCATTTCCTCTCTGCTGTAGACTTTCCCCTCTATTTTATACCTCCATTTCCTTATCTTTCTCTTAAGCCTTATACTTTCTCTCTCTATTTCTTTCCCGACTTCTTTCTCTCTCTATCTTTCCAACTTCTTTCACTCTCATTCTACTTTCCTGACTTCTTTCCCTCTCTCTCTTTCCCAACTTTTTCTCTCTCTTCTGACTTTTTCTTTTCCTCTCTCTCTCTCTCTCTTCCGACTTTTTCTCTCTCTCTCTCTTCCGACTTCTTCTCTCTCACTTTCCCGAGTTTTTCTCCCTCTCTTTCCCGACTTTTTTCTCTCTCTCTCTCTCTCTCTCTCTTTCCCGACTTTTTCTTTCTCTCTCTCTTTCTCTCTCTCTCTCTCTCTCTTTCCCGACTTTTTCTTTCTCTCTCTCTTTCTCTCTTTCCCGATTTCCTCTCTCTCTCTTTCTCGACTTTTCTCTCACTCTCTCTCTTTCCCAACTTTCTTTCTCTCCCGACTTTCTCTCTCTCGCTTTCTCGATTTCTCTCTCTCTTTTCTCCCGATTTCTCTCTATCTCTCATTCTCCCGACTTTTCTCTCTCTCTCTCTCTCTCTCTCTATATATATATATATATATATATATATATATATATATATATATATATATATTTCTCGCCTTCTCTCTTTCTCTCCTTTTTTCTCTCTCTTTCTCGCCTTCTTTCGCTGATCTATTGTTTTCCTATTTAAATCCGGCATCAGAAATTTTTGTGACAAAACCTAATGGAAAACTCCACATTAAATCCAGCTCTTTTTTTTTCGCATTTTTGCTTTTTTTATTTCGTTTCGTTTTGTTTTTCTCTTTTCCACACAATTAAAATGGAATCAGGACAAACTACAACTCTTTCCCTTTTAGCTTGCTACTACTCATTCCGACATTACCTCCCTTTTTTTCTTTTATATATATATCTCGTACGTATTCTTTGTCCATCTGTTTGTTTACTTTTTGAAGAGGACGAATTCTATCTTTCTTTCGACATTTGCATCTATCTCTTTTTTGTCTGTCAATGACTTTCCCAAATCGACTTGCGCAGGCACCAAACTCATTTTGATTTCTCCTATTTTCATTATCACTGCTTTTAGAACTCCAAAACTTACAAATCAAACAAAGAATGTGCATTTTATATTCCCATGAATCCAGTGTCTTTCTCCATTTCTAGGAGAAACCATTGATATTCTGCCAGAGGTAGACCAAAGAATAATAGCCTACCAGTAAGAAATAATAATGGACCCTATCGTGAGAAAGGAATCACACTCCTGACTGGCCAGTTGATAACAGAAATCTCGACCTATACTAGGTTTATGAATGTTATTTGTATTTAAATTATCTTTCTTTAGTCTTTTATGTGTCGCGCCACTTCAGGTTGTGCGGGTTATGCCTCTCCTCAACCTCTTTTGTATCTCTTAGTAATATTTGATCTTTTTTTAATATCTTTTCCATTCCCTATTCTGCGAGCTATTTACACAAACGCGTTAGGTTATTCAATAGTCCTGGGTACGCCGATAAATTACATTACAAGGCTTCTGATCGGGAAATTGGAGGTTGTGAGTAGCGTGGAACCACCTCTTAACTGTTGTTGTTCTCAGAGTCACCCTGATCTAGGGTGGTAGTAACCGGTAGGGCAAACAGCGATCTCCCAAACAAAAACAAAACACTATTAAAATATAAAAATGTATTTTTATGATAAGAATACCAACAATATATTTTTTATATAATTACCAACAATACATATTCATAGTAAAATTACCAACAATACATTTTTAAAGCAAAATGACGAATTCATTCATAGTAGAATTACCCACAATGCATTTTATCTATAGTTGAAAGCATACAATTGCGTTAAAAAAGATATTTTGTTGAAGCCATAAAAGTGCGTTCAAAATATTTAGATTTCGACATTAAATAACACATACTGGTTGATATGTCGCTAAACAGAATCAACCAACCAATCTCAAATTCTAAAACAAGAACGACTACCAATCTGTAGGGTATGTCATGAACTCTTCACAACAAAACACGTACTACAAGTTGAAGCGATTTAATACGAATCTGTTTAAAATACTACTAAACAACTAACATGAAATAATGTTCATGACATTAATCCATATATACTACAATTTCTTAAATAAATCCATCTGTATCGAAAACTTAAGATGCATATGCACAAAATCTGTGTTATCTACCATGTATTGTGAAAGGAAATAACTTACATTTTTATTACTTCAAAACTCTCAAAAAAATCGACATTAAATGACCCATATCCAGTTGATATGCCGTTAAACAAATCGCATCAAATCATTAGCTTATTCACTGTTTCGCTACATTTCAATATGCCTTGTGATTATCCCATTCTCCAAGCGTTCATTCCTCAGAGAAATTACAACTCTTTCTTATTTTAAGTTTTTTTCGTTCCTATTTCATGAACAATTCCTTATTGTGAAAATACTCCGCCCATACACTACTTTAGCTGTAAGAAAATTGTCCAGCTTTCAATACCATGTTGTAGGATTGATTAATACTTAGCAGTTCAGCACTCCTTTATAAGTTTCTAAGAGAAATTATCTATTTCTTAATACCTTCCAAAAGCTAGACAATGCATCCTTCGCTATTCTAATCCCACTTCAGATTTCGATGTTACGTTTTCCGTTGTTCTCGTTAAATTTTCAATTATTCAGATTAAATTTTCAATTTCTATACTTTCTTGGTCTTAACATCTTCAAATCGTAGTTCGAAACTTCAGCTGTTCTTGCTGCAGACAACAATATATTGTCGTCTTACAATTGATAGTCTTTACTTCCTGCTTTCCTTTACTATGTTGCCTAGAAGTCCCTGCAGTTTTCTTTCTATATCTGTTATCTGCGTATCTCATGTTACTATGATTGAATAAATTTACTTAGAAGACGCAACTCACTCCACTTTTTATTTTTTGTACTTACAATTCTCCTCGTAATTCAAATAGATCTTTGTATTGAACCATTACAAATGCTTTTGCTTCCACTGAAACATAGGTATATGTTCTTCTGCTATTCGTTCTTACATCATCGGGACAAAAAAAATAGATGGAAAATTCAGCTTTATGCAAAGATTTTTAGATAAAAAATTTTCTTCCAGAATGCTAAATAGGGCAAAATAACATTATGAAAATTTGCTTAGATTCCCCATGATGAGACTTGACTTCCATTCGCCTTAATAAGACTTGACTTTCATTACCCGTGATGAGACTTGATTTCCATTGCCCATGACGATACATGACTTTCATTCTCCATGATGAGACTTGACTTCCATTGCCCATCATTAGACTTGACTTTCATTCCTCATGATGATAATTGACTTTTATTCCCCATGATGAGACGACTTTCATTCTCCATGATGAGACTTGACTTATATTGCCCATCATTAGACTTGACTTCATTCCCCATGATGAGACTTGACTTCCATTCCCCATGATGATACTTGACTTTTATTCCCCATGATGAGACGACTTTCATTCTCCATGATGAGACTTGACTTTCATTCTCCATGATGAGACTTGACTTCCATTGCCCATCATTAGACTTAACTTCATTCCCCATGATGAGACATGACTTTTATTCCCCATGATGAGACTTGACTTCCATTCCCCATGATGAAACTTGACTTCCATTCCCCATGATGAAACTTGACTTCCATTCCCCATGATGAGACTTGACTTCCATTCCCCATGATGAAACTTGAGTTCCATTGCCCATCATTAGACTTGACTTTCATTCCTCATGATGAGACGACTTTCGTTCTCCATGATGAGACTTGACTTTCATTCTCCATGATAAGAACTGACTTCCATTGCCCATCATTAGACATGACTTTCATTCCTCATGATGAGATGACTTTCGTTCTCCATGATGAGACTTGACTTTCATTCTCCATGATAAGAACTGACTTCCATTGCCCATCATTAGACTTGACATTAATTCCCCATGATGAGTCTTGATTTTCATTCCCCATGATGAGTCTTGACTTTCATTCCCCATGATGAGTCTTGACTTTCATTCCCCATGATGAGACTTGACTTTCATTCCCATAATGAGACTTGACTTCCATTGCCCATTATTAAACTTGACTTCCATTCCCCATGATGTGACTTGACTTCCATTGCCCATGATGAAACTTGACTTTCATTGCCCATGATGAAACTTGACTTTCATTGCCCATGACGAGATTTGACATACATTCCCCATGATGAGCCTTGACTTTCATTCCCACTGATGAGACTTGACTTTCATTCCCCATGATGAGACTTGACTTTCATTCTCTATGATGAGACTTGAGTTCCATTGCCCATCATTAGACTTGACTTTCATTCCTCATGATGATACTTGACTTTTATTCCCCATGATGAGACGACTTTCATTCTCCATGATGGGACTTGACTTATATTGCCCATCATTAGACTTGACTTCATTCCCCATGATGAGACTTGACTTCCATTCCCCAGGATGATACTTGACTTTTATTCCCCATGATGAGACGACTTTCATTCTCCATGATGAGACTTGACTTATATTGCCCATCATTAGACTTGACTTCATTCCCCATGATGAGACTTGACTTCCATTCCCCATGATGATACTTGACTTTTATTCCCCATGATGAGACGACTTTCATTCTCCATGATAAGAACTGACTTCCATTGCCCATCATTAGACTTGACTTTAATTCCCCATGATGAGTCTTGACTTTCATTCCCCATGATGAGTCTTGACTTTCATTCCCCATGATGAGTCTTGACTTTCATTCCCCATGATGAGACTTGACTTTCATTCCCATAATGAGACTTGACTTCCATTGCCCATTATTAAACTTGACTTCCATTCCCCATGATGTGACTTGACTTCCATTGCCCATGATGAAACTTGACTTTCATTGCCCATGATGAAACTTGACTTTCATTGCCCATGACGAGATTTGACATACATTCCCCATGATGAGCCTTGACTTTCATTCCCACTGATGAGACTTGACTTTCATTCCCCATGATGAGACTTGACTTTCATTCTCTATGATGAGACTTGAGTTCCATTGCCCATCATTAGACTTGACTTCCATTCCCCATGATGAGACTTGACTTTCATTCTCCATGATGAGACTTGACTTCCATTGTCCATCTTTAGACTTGACTTCCATTGCCCATCTTTAGACTTGACTTCCATTCCCCATGATGAGACTTGATTTTCATTCTCCATGATGAGACTTGACTTCCATTGCCCATCATTAGACTTAACTTCATTCCCCATGGTGAGACATAACTTTTATTCCCCATGATGAGACTTGACTTCCATTCCCCATGATGAAACTTGACTTCCATTCCCCATGATGAAACTTGAGTTCCATTGCCCATCATTAGACTTGACTTTCATTCCTCATGATGAGACGACTTTCGTTCTCCATGATGAGACTTGACTTTCATTCTCCATGATAAGAACTGACTTCCATTGCCCATCATTAGACTTGACTTTCATTCCTCATGATGAGACGACTTTCGTTCTCCATGATGAGACTTGACTTTCATTCTCCATGATAAGAACTGACTTCCATTGCCCATCATTAGACTTGACTTTAATTCCCCATGATGAGACGACTTTCGTTCTCCATGATGAGACTTGACTTTCATTCTCCATGATAAGAACTGA